TTTATTTACTTATTTTTAGGTGGTTTTTTTTTTTTTGCTTTTGTTTTTGTTTTGTTCCCCCCCCCCCCCATAGAGTGCCTTGGACTCACTGGAGAGAGATAGAGAGAGACAGTGAGAAATCACTGCCCCAGGGAGGATGGCCATGCTGCCACCCTCCTCCTCCATTCTCTTCCTGAGATTCTGGGCATGTATGCACATGCCCGCCGTGACCCTCAAGCTTTCAGGTCCAGCACTTGAACTGTGTTTGGCCATGTAGGAGTCCAGAACCTCAACCAGCATGTCAACTGCTGGCCCCAATTTTTTTTTTTTTTTTGATTTGCTATAGGATGTGCATACTCACCAGACAGAAAGTGAGAAAGCACCCCCCTCATGTGAGATGGCCATTCCACAACCCCCTCTCCATTCTCTTCTCAGGATGTGGGCACACATACATATGTACCTGGCATTTTCTTTTAATTAATTTATTTACTTTTTAGAGAGATTTCTGCTTTAGGGTGTGTGTGCTTGCCACAGAGACAGAGAGACAGAAAGTGAGAAATCATCCCTAAGAGGGACGGCCACATTGCAATCCCTTCTCCTCCATTCTCCTCTCGGGATTTTAGACGTGTATACACATGCATCCAGCATAAGTGGTAAGCTGCTGAGTCTGGGACTTGAACGTGGTCAACTACATGGGAGTCCAGTGACGTAACCATTACACTATCTGCTGGTGCCCCTGGTATGTTTCAAGCCACCCGGTCTGGGACTCAAACTGTGTAGTCGGGTATGTGAGATCCAGCCACCTTAACCACCTTGCCATCAGATGGCCTAAAGTGATTAGTTTTTACCGTAATAATTCTAAACACCCGGTTTGGTTTTGTTTTTAATATTTATAAGGCACATGCGCTCTCTGGATGAAGAGCTAGAGACAGAAAGAGGAAAAGTGAGAAATCACCCCCCTGCAAGGGGATGGCCATGATGCAATCCCTTCTCCTTCAGTCCCCTGCTGAGATCTTGGGCACATAAGCACAAGTGCCCAGCATGAGTTTCAAGCCACTGGGGTCTGGGACTCAAACCACGTTGGCCATGTGGGAGTCCAGTGATATAACCACTATGTCACCTGCTGGCCCCATCACCTGCCTGGTTTCATGCTCAACAGGCTATGAGATACTGTCACTCACAAGACTGGGTAGGGAAGGGGGTTAATGTGTATCAATATATGGACTTTCTTCTCTCTCTTGGCATAGTGCTTTTACTTCAGCTGAGAAGGTGACCAATGTATCAGTTAGAGAACAATGAGAAAAGAAGGAAGTGCTCCTCCAAGGCCTGATAAAGTCCCCAAGGGCCATAAGAACTTAGGAAGGAAACATATCAGAATAAGCCAAGATTACTTCACACCCAAGTGAAGAAATAAAGATAGTTCTTAAAGGTCAGGAAAAAAAAAATGGGCATTGAAAGAAAAAAATACAGAACACTTCCAAAATTGTCACATATTCCCATTATCGGTCCTAGGCCTTCTCCGGCACTGATTACTAGGACCCAACATTGGCGCATCCTCTCTCTCTTTCATTCACCATTGCAAAAATCTTTCTAGAACTGGCAAGTCAGGTGAGATGCTTCCCATCGGTCTCAAAAGTTATTTCTAATGCTTTGGAATTACACCTCTCCAGTGACTTTAGGGATTGTATTTTAACCCCCTTGTTACAGAAATTAAGAAAAGTGATATTCAGAGAGATTACTACGCATGCTCAAGATCACACAGCAGGTTGAGGCAGAACAAGAATGAGGAGTCAGGGCTAAATTCCTTTTGCACGCTCTTCTGGTCATTGCAGAATACTGGGCACCGGCTCTGTTGGTCCTTAAATTTCAGGTATTTGTCTAAGTCTGAATATCCAGATAGCAGCCTGCCCTCGGAAAGCATTACATCATCTAAGATGGCTCTGTCCTGCTCCTGGGGAAATGGCACATCCCCGGGTACACACGCTAAACTCCACATATGTACCACAACTGGCATCTTCACATGCAACTGGGACAGGTATTCTGTGGCTACAAGCTGAGTCAGCAGCCTTCTTCGGTACTTCCTTGTACCTTCGTAGGGACTTCAGCTGAGCCACTTGCCAACAACCACAAGATCTCTCCTGATCCCGCCTAATGTGATTGCTGATTAAACCCAGTATGCTAGGACCAGGAGGTGGTGTGGTGGTTAAGACACTAGACTCCCACATGGCTGACCATGGTTCAAGCCCTGAAGCTCACACAGGGCGCATGTGCGTGTATGGTCAAGATCCCAAGAGGAAAATGGAAGAGAAGGGATTGTGGTGTGGCCATCCCCCCAGGAGGTGATTTTTCACTTTCTCTCCATCTCTTTCTGTTTCTCTAGCAAGCACACACCCCCTATAGCAAAAAAAAATTTTTTTCTAAAAAAAAAAAAAAAACAAAAAACAAAAAAAAAAAAGTCAGTATGCTTTGCATACTCACCGGGGCTCCCCTTTCAAGAGTGAGAAGTCAGCCTGACAATAAATGCTGCCCCTTTGTGTACCAGAAAGAGACCTTGGAGGACCGAGCCATCTGAGGCATGATGGCACGTCAGCTCCTTCTAAGGGCAGGAGTCATTTTTTTTTTTTTTTTTGAGAGGTTTTTTCGCTATAGGGCGCGTGCGCTCGCCAGACAGACAGAGAGAGACATAGAGACAGAAAGCGAGAAATCACCCCCCAGGGGGGATGGTCACGCCGCAATCCCTTCTCCTCCATTCTCCTCTCGGGATCTTGGGCACGTACGCACACGTGCCCGGCGTGAGTTTTAAGCCACTGGGTCCGGGACGTGAACCGCGGTCGACTACGTGGGAGTCCAGCGACATAGCCATTACGCTAACTGCTGGTTCCCAGGGCAGGAGTCATTTTATATAGCATTTGTGAAACTACTCATTCTAATCTGATGCCAGTTTCCATCATACCTATCTTTTTTTTAAATCGTAACAATCTTCATACATTCTCCTGTACTTCCTTCAAGGAACAATCACTTGGCTTGAAATAATCAACAGAGAGCCCCAACTCCTTCCTGTACCTGGCCTTGTGAAAATGGCATTTTAGCACTTTGAGTTTTTCAGGTCCTTTGGGGTTTTGAATGAACCCAGGTAACTGATTTGATCACAGACCACCAATGACCGCCTTCCAAATCTTTCTCAGAAGAGTGATAAGTCAGGCTACATATGCCTTTGATAAGAACTGTGGGACTTTCTAGGAGGTTACATTTGCTGGGATCTCTGGTTTCCCTCAAAGCCAGATTTGATTTCATGGAAAAGGATCACCTTTGCCAAGAAACAGGTTGCATAGCAAAAACAGTGTGGGCCCTGGATCCAGAGCAATGTGGGTCTGCTGCTGTCACCTGTTGGGTAAACCCCGGCAGGTATTTGGTCTCGGAGTCTCTGTTCCTGGTTTGTGATATGAGAATAATAGCATCCGCAAGCAGTAAGGGACTCAAAGTCCCAAGGGAGTTCACGGGTAAGGTTAAATGCCCACAAACAGCATAGACATGGGCATTCTAGGAGAGAGATGGAACCCCTGTGTTTTTCACTCGATGGCGTGGAGAGGCGGTACGACAGCACACAGCGTAAGCCTGCGTTCACTGCACTCGGTGTACACACTGGGCACATTCTTGCTCCCAGAACTGCTCCCCGTGGCTATGTTCTACTAAGCCTCTGTGGGGACAGCAGAGCTCTCAATTTAGAGAAAGCTTCTGGCATTTTGTATGTCCTTCCTGTCCCATGTGCATTTGTCACAGAAAAGGAAGACTATCATCACCAATGGTCGGCAGAAGTGGTTCTCAGGACTGGAGAGTTTTCACTGCAAATAGCCCTGCAGACATTAAATTTCCTGGTATGGGACTTAAGAGAAAAGTTCTTCTTCGTAGCCTGGCTGGCACAAGGATCATCCTTTTTCAGTAAATAAACCACAACTAACTATGTCACCTTTGGACTGTTAGGAAACCTGGAAGTGGGGTGTCCAAGACAACTGAGTCTTTGGTTTTTCTTCCAGGGCAGTGAGGCTGGCTCCTAAGGACTTGTTGGCAGATTTCATGCCATTCTGGAATTTTAGCAACTAACCTCATCCTTAGGAAATGGAGTGTGGATGGTGAATGCAATTGGCTCAGCCTATCAGAAAAGAAAAGAAGCAAGCATTCAAATACCCAATGGTGGTTGCCAGATCCTCTCAGATGTTCTAAGAACCACAGAACTGAAAATATACACATATTCTAAAGCTGGGAGACCCATGGAACAAGAAAGATATTTAAGACACAGGACCCTGGAGAGGAAGAGGTGAGCAAGAGTTATTTTCAGCAGAAATTAACATCTGGGACATAAGATACTCCAGGATCATCTCGCCCAGCTATGCCGTGGGCTCTGGGACAGGATATTTCCCCTAGAATGAATGAATTGAGGCTGGAACTAACCTCTTACCAGAAAAGGAGCCATTTCTAAGGAAACTCTTAAAATCCCAGTTAAATCTATTATAACTACTTCATCTTTCAACATTGCAAAACCAAACCAAAACGTAACTATCTTCAGCATACTTAGCTCCAATTATGTTTTACTCCTCCCACAAATGAAAACTAAGAAACACTGTATTTCAACAGTGAAGAATTCTTTAAAATTCTCAAGTTTTTCACCTTAAGTGTTGCCATTTTTAAAAAATAAACTAAGTCCAGAACCCATTAGCAGTTGCTAGTGATATCTAGTGAGAACTGTTCATTTATAAGGTAAGTCATTATTTAAAATGCCTGATTCTATATCTTTTTCTGTACAAATAAGGCTGTGAGTAGCTGGTTCAACGAATAAAGGGAGCTGAGAATGCTTCTTTGAAATTACAGACCCACCCATGCTAGGGCTCTTCTAGCCAAAATGAAATCCATCCTGTTGGTCTAGTTAACTGTCCTTATTAGAACCACCCAAGGAATACAACTCCCCATGCAGAGTTAAGAAAAAGCCAAACTTGGGAGTCTGTGAGGATCCCAAGTTCACTCACTTGTCTTCTGTGAAACTTTTCCCAGTAATAACGTCCTTCCCTTGAGGTACATAGTTCCAGTGTTCTTCCACAATCCCAATGTAGTATGTTCTGGTAACGGCGCCAACCAGCCCACACAGACCCAGGAAGGTGAGGAGAAAGGTGCAGCTACCCTGCTGCTTCCGAGGCATTTGTGGATATAACTCGGGCAAGCAGTCTGTCCAGGAGACAATCCTGCTGGTCCCTCCCCTTCACTCAGGGGAATGGACCAGGCCCGGCTCCTCCTCCTTAGGTAGCTCAGGGCTGGGACAGAGGCTGACAACTTGTGTAAGCAGGGTTGGGGGGGGGGGAGTTGCTATGACAACAAAACTTTTGCCATCCATCCAAGAAATGTGGAACTGGCTTATTTATTTGCTGCCCAAGCCCAGCAGACCTGTTGCTCTAAGTTTTGGTACTACGCTCTGACACCACTCATTCATCTTTGCCAGGAAGGGTATTGAAAAAACACATGGCCTGATGGGTTTCCCCCACGCCCTCTTCTTCTCTCCACACCTATTACAGGAACATATTAAAATCTGAAAAGAGGGCTGGCCTGAGTGGAGCATCAGGAAATAGTCTACGTACTGAAGGAGGCCTCGTCTCTGCTCAGAGGCAGAGGGAGTGATGTCGTCACCCCCCCAGCTTGTTTTATGACACTACATGAAACAATCAACTCGCATCATAAAGTTCACGACAACATTGTAAATCTCCACTACTTCTCCATTTGTTCATGCGCCGTCTCCCCCAAAGTCTTTCAAATCCCACCAGCAAAAAATGAGGAGAGGGACTGCCCACTTGAGACAAAATGTTAAAGCCCCTTATTCCTAAATTTTGAGCTGCTTTTCTCAGGATGAGTGAAAATGATAGGAGGGGAGTACCCTTCAGGCACTTAAAACAAATTTCTGTAGCAAGTCTTGGGGCAAAAAAGTGAGGGGAGTGGGACCAGCAGATGGCATGATGGTTAGGCAGTGGATTTCCACGTGATGGACCACAATTCGAGTCCTGGACCCAGTGGTTTGAAACCACGATGGATGCCTGTGTACATGCACCCAAAATCCCAAGAGGAGACTAGAGGAGAAAGGACTGCAGCATGGCCATCCCCCGTGGGGATTATTTCTTCTTTCTGTCTCTCTTCAGCACATGCACAGCCCTATGGCAAAAACCTAAATAAATAAATAAATAAATAAATAAATAAATAAATAAATAAATAAATAAATGAGGGGGGTGCCATTTGTCTGTGAATTCTAATCTGCAATCTGGAATGTTGATGTTGAAAGAGATCTTGTTCAGCCTTAGGAGAGAGCCAACCTGATCCCCATGAGGTAGCAGCCATGAAGTGAAGGAAACAGTCTCCTCCTAGGTCTTGAAATTGGACAAAACTGAGTTTGAATCTGAGTTCCATCCGTTTCTACTGGGTTGTCAGAAAAGTCATGAGGATTTTTGAATAGAAAAAATATATAATGACTTTTCTGACAACCTAATAATTTAGCAGCATTAGAATCAGCCTCTTAGCCCTGGCCCATAAAACATAAATTGAGGTATTCCTAAGAAGACAGTAAAAGATGATGCATGCAAAGTACCTGCCATAGCCCTTGGCACATGATAGGTGTTCAATAATTGCTAACGTCCTTCATGCCCATCTGCACCCTCGAAGACTCTTCGTCATCCTGTGTGTTGACCAACTTACATTTCCACTGAAGTTCTGCTGTCTTTTTCTACTATTTTTCCCCAAAGTCCCATCCATCATGCTTTCTACCAGTCTTAAGTAAGAAGGTTCTTTTTCTATGGGGCTAGCTCTATGGAGTGGTGTTAATGCACTGTTTAAGAGAAACTGGATCCCATATGGCGACTACAGTTCAAGTCCCTGGCCCAGTCAGCCTAAAACATGAGGAGCACACACATGAGAGCCCAAGATCCAGTGAATGGGCAGAAGACTGTGGAGGGTGCTTCTCTCTCGCTCGCTCATTCTACATGTGCATGTATTCTATCATAAAAAAAGAAAAAACTTTAAAGAGTTCTTGTTCTTTGAACTGTAGATACTCTGTAAATGTTCCATAACACAGATTTTGAATTAATATCCATGTTAACCAATAAAATGCACACTGCATAACCTGTTTCAGAGCCAAGCTCTTAACATCTTTGATTTATTGACTTGTTTTTATATCAAGGATACTGGCAGAATAATTGCCGTGGCACATTCCCATTTAACTCAAATCTCCTCTTCAATGTGGGTTTGAAACCTTTGTATGCATTTGGCATTTGAATAGTCACAGAAGAGGAGGATTGGCTGAGAAGACTGAGAATGGCATCAAAAGAAGTAGGATGTTAGGAGGTCTGGGAATTCAGAAATGTCCCAGACCAAACAGATTTTTGTTGATATCCCAGAGAAGGTTGGAGCCTATCAGAAACTGCATTGGGACATATCCCACCCACTCCCCCAACACCAAATTCTTCTGGACAGGAAAAAGAAGAGGTATAAAGGATATAGATCAAAAAGACAAGAGTTAACTTTCCTTCCCAAGATACTGAAAGTGTATAAAGAAAACCCTGGAGAAGACATCGCCTAAATTCTGAGTCCAAGACTAATCTGTAGGAGGATAGAACGGGTTGAGAAGGAATGGAGGTGCTACAGCAGATGGAATCAACTCGACTCTCTGTAGCAGAGAACCTGGTTCCTGAGGGACAAAGAGTAGGGGATGAGTACTAAGACAAAGGGCATTGGGTTCCTAGAAAGCTCTTAAATGCTCCCTCACTCTACAACAATAGTGCCACTCAAAAAGCATCCGAGTTCCATAGGAGCTAAAGAAAACAAACAGGAGTAAGAAAATACGGTGTTCCTCTAACACTCGTTTCTGAAAACCACAGTTGAATAAAAGGTGTGTTGGACAATGTCTAAAATTAATTTCAGAAACCTGTAATAGTGTTACTTTCATTATTACAAATACAATTTACCCTACAAATGCTTTCAACCGCCTTAGACACTATGCAGACATTGATAATGCAGAGAAATCCACCGCTTTACGGGGCTGATTCATGAGATGGCCAGCCCTAGATACCACTTCACTATTCCTTCAGTGCACTCCCCAGGTAAACCATTGAGATGCAGTAATTTAGCATTATGTTCGCTAGAATGGAAAGATAATCCTGGATCACATCATGTTTCTTTTCTTTTTTCAAAAAGAAGTATTTCATTTATCTTTATGTATTTATTTTAACTTTACCAGAGAGGAACAGAGAGAGAGAGAAAGTGAGAAAGTAAGCCACCAGGTCTGAGACTTGAACCAGTAAGCCACGTGGGAGTCCTTAACTATCCTTAACTACCATACCACCTGCCAGCCCCAAAATCATATTTCTAAAGGATATTTAAATAAAACCTTCAGTGGGAGAAGCCAGTTCAGATAAAATTATTCTACCTGGGACCAGCAGGTGGCATAGTGGCTAAGTCACTGGACACTCCCACATGGCCGACCACGGTTTGAGTCCCGGACCTGGTGGCTTGTTTTCTCACTTTCTCTCTCTCTCTCTGTTTCTCTCTGGTCAAATTAAAATAAATGAATAAATAAATAAAATTAAATAAATATTTTTTAAAAAATTATCCTACCTAGTCTTAGCAAAGGTGTCATCTTCTTTTTAAAAAAAGATTTAATTTTATTTATCACTATTATTATTTTTTAAAATTTGCAATAGGTCACACATGCTCATCAGAGAGAGAAAGAGGAAAATTGAGGAAGCAAGGCACCAGGTCTGGGACTCACCAGGTCGGGACTCAAATCATGGTTGTCCATGTGGGAGTCCAACACCTTAATGACTGTGCCACCTGCTGGCCTATCATTTTCAATAAAAGTAAAATGTGAGTGATGAGACTAGTTGACCCATTCTTTAGATGTTTTTCACTGTGGGAGACTTCTGCTGTCCCAAACTCTGACTATAAACTTGTATCAGCCCAGCCCTCTCACTCCCCTGGTATAGCAGAGAGTAGCTCTCAAACTCATTGGGACCCTCAGTTCTGTGAGCTACGTCATTATTTCTCACCTGGACCCCTGTAACTTTCTAATCATTTTCACTGGTCACAGAGTGACCTTGCTGACTGCAGAATGCAGGCAGGACCAATGCTCCTCACTGCTTGAGGTTCTTTTCAGTCCCTCCTGGCCTATAGGATATGGATGGAGGCCTTAACTCAACTTTCCAAGCTGATCCTGATAGGGCTCCAGGGGTCTGCAGGCACCTCCTCAGCTCTGGTCTATGCTGTAGTCATTGTCATCATGACAACCAGTTGCACTTCTTCTGGGCTCTCTCCAGCACCCTTTATACCCTTAACGTAGCACTGATCACACATATTACACTACCAATATAGCCCTACAATCTCCTGTTTGTCTGCCCTCCCACATACATGCTCCCAGGCTTCTTGTAGGCGGGGCTAGCTCTTGATTGTCCCTGTGTCCCCAGGGTCTGACACATTACAAGCACTGGTGAAATGGTGAGCCAGTGCATGTGTGAATGAATGAATGAACAAATGCTTACAGATATGACACATATGAATAAGTGCAACTGCATGTTATGGAGCAGTTCTGTGATAAGCCTTTTATATGCATTTCATCTGTTATTACAACAACTCTATCCAAAGGTACAACCACCTTTATCCTAATTTACAAATGAGAAAGCTGAGATTCAGACAGGTTCGGGTTAAAAACATAATAATAAAGTCAGCCATTGCAGCTCAGTGGTAATACAGGCTCCAAATGCTGAAGCCACGTAGGAAGGTTCTCGGGTTCACATCCCAAGGTCTCCCTTCATGTGCTGGGCACATGTGCTTGTGTGGTGATATTGGCTGGCTGAGGGTGAAGACACTGAGCCCCTCTTTCCCATTATCTTTTTCTCTCTGTTTCTTATAAATAAGTGAATAATTTTTTTTTTAATTGGGAAATTTCTCAATGCCCTGTGACTGACAAATAATGAAATTCTGTGAGGCTTTGAAGCAGCATTCCCACACAGTGCACCCAGACTGAGGAGGACAGGGTACCAGGGGCTACGCTGCCTGCTTCATACTGAGGTGTGGAAGAAGCACACACCAGGGCTGCTCAAGGACCTGTCCACTGAGGGACGATCCCCATGCCCCTCCAGTCCAGCCCAGACAAAACCCTCATCACTACAG